ATTCCACTGAAACAATGTATTTGATGACCACACAGTCTTACAAGCCATTGAAAAATAACAGAAACCACAGACATCAGACTGGAATTTGAAATAGTGTAACTAGAAGTAATTAATGTCTCCCATACACATAAAAGGTTTAGAAAACCTCCTTTGAAAATAAGAGGTTAATGATGTGTCTTCAGAAACAAATTTATGTATAGTAGTATAATAGAATTAAATGAATTCTATACATGATCTTTTCTAATTAAAATACATAAATAACATGTTTACAACATGAAAATAGAACATAAACCATTAAGCTTAGGAGTTTTTGTTTTATATATCGATCAGTTGTTGTCAAATTCATTATAACCAAGATATCACAAAACATTTTTCAATTATTTTTTTCGTACTGCATGTTGCGTTAATATGTTATAGACCAAGAGGTAGGCTTTTACCTTCCTTGTACAAATCCATAAACTATTCCTCAACTGTATAGTGGTACCAAGCACCTGCACCGAGCACAGAGACATTATGTCTTGTCTAAAGCGTGCCGATACTGGTGTATATAGGTGTATAGATATGTCTATATTATAATATATATATTTTAAAACGAGATTTGAATATGATTAGTTTAACAATAGGATCATGGAAAAGGAATGAGAACCGGAAACGAGTTGGCGAGATATCGACGATATCATTGAAATGACTTCCCCTGTTGCATAATTTATAGCTATCCAGCCTTGTTTGACTGGGAAATGGCATAATGAGATAATATGCCGGATAAACACCATGAGTGATTTAAATTGTCATAGAGAAATACCAAGTTGAAAACGTAGCTGAGTTTCGTGCGTTTATTTGAGGCGATTATTCGCGTATGGTTGCGAATAATAAAAATGATCATAAATACTAAAGCAACTCACAACTCAGTTGCAAGAGATTTGCGTTTGAAACGTTTGATCGCTATTCTTATTGGAAACCATACGCAACTGCTGATCGATATAGTGTGAGGGAACCTTTACTATAACGACATTATATACACTTCACGTCTCTTTATCCGCTGAGATAGCATTGCCTTATCATGAGGCCTACAGGTAGAATGTGTTTCATTTCACTCAATGGACCACGAAACATGACCAGTCACCTGGCAGCAATTTACTTAAGGCATTCCATGGTTTGCGTCTCGGATTAAAATCAGAACAAAAGAATAGATTGATCAGTAAATTTCTTACAATGTGAACTAATGGCATCGCTGTTTTTATACAATTGAAGAGAAATATAGCCTACGTTACAAATAATTCGTGGACTTTTTATTACATTAATGGCCTGACTCCGACCTAAATAATAGACAAAATGGCGGAAATGGCGGCAATTTAACAGTTACGTTCTACATCCATCAAGTTTAATTGAGGTTACGTAGGTTATAAAATTAAGGATTCTGGTAGAATTGATTTGGTCGACATAACGTAACTAGATAATTGTTTCAAGATGTAATTTTCTAGAAATCAAAGATTCTAATTATTTTATTTATGTGAATTGAAGTAACTGTAACGAAATAATATATGGTCATATTAAAGTTGGCTTGTCGTGTTTCATTATTTATGGAATCAATTATTGTTGTGAATTGTAGAGAGATATGTCTCCATTATAAAGTCAAACACCAAAACTAGTTCAAACTGCTTGATTAACAATTAGTACTCTCTTTTTAATTAACGCTTTTAAAACAAACTCAGTTTGATCAAGGAGATACATAGATATAAACAGCATACTTTAGTAATATTTTCAGGTATAATTTACGATGTTTTAGTGGAAATTTAAAGATTGCTATAATGAATGTAGAGAAGATTTATGAATCTCTAGAGCCTTATAAACTTCAGAAAAATATTGGTTATTATTCCGAACACAGTTTTCTTTTCACAGTTCTAGTTTTTAACAAATCACCAAATACTGCATGTTGTTTCTTTGACTGCTTCAAGTGAAAATGAATCCTACCTCTTTCTTGTTTATTCTGGATCGGGCTATGCTAAGTAAAAGGACTTGACTGTACGAGAAAAAGTATTCGTGTTTAAAAATTACAGGAACCCATTCTTAGATCGAAAGTACTATTGTACTTATTGTTTGAATTCATTGACCGTAATATATCTATAATTTATATCAATTAAGTACTATTTTAGTAATATTAGTATATAATTGTAAATGACTAATTTGTTAGACACAATAACTTAATAACTATAATTTTCAATTAATCGTTTGAACAAAATGAGACTATCTTGTTAGGTTCATTATAAAGGACATCTTCACAATGTCAAATCTTTATGAACAACGTCTTATACCTTGGCTGCAATAGCAGCAGGGAACTTGTAAACGCAGCGATTTGATTGGATTGTAAGCCAATCAAAGCAATCGAATTAAAGAAAATTTTGTTGCGCGTGAAAAAAGCAGCTACGATTGGCTGTATTCGCTAGCGTACAATTCAATCAAATCGCTGCATTTACAAACTCCTGTGATACAATTAATGTGGATTTTGCAGTCAAAGTATAAGATATAGTTCTTATGAGTTTGACATTGTGAAGATGTGTTAAGGATTGCCTTATATTTATGATAATCACTTATAAACCTTCGTGACAGTAGAACGGTTTTCAACAATGAATTGATTTTTCATTTAATATAAGTAAGTCATAAATAAGTGATAAATTTCTGGGTGTGGAATCTCCTTGAATCCTAGGTGAACCTACTTCTTGGTTAAGTCATCAGGTACATGTCTGTCACACCCAGTATACGACTCTTCGACCGACCTTTCTATAAAACATATATTACAAAAACATTCGAAAATGAAATGAATGGAGTTTTACGTCCTACTTTTCTGACCATGTGGGCTAATGAAGACAGACAACGCCATGCAGGGTGCCGTGAGGGAAACTTTGCCAGGACAGTGGTATTAGCCTGCTCTTTTTCGATTTTCAACTGTCGAGGGATCTTTTAACGTGCACTGCCGGTAGCACACGGGACCTCGGTTAACAAAAACATTCGAAGTACTTCAATTTATAAAGCATCAGTTACTGTTTCACTATCAATACCAAAGTCTCTCGACACAGAAAAAATGCTTCCATGGGCCACGTAATCTGGAAAAATCAAAAGGGTGAGAACTTCCAATCGAATCTATTACAAATCACTTTGTCTTTTCTATCAAGAGAAAAAAACGTTGCATTATTGTCTAGGTGGGACGGAACCGGAAGTGGACTAGCTTCCTGAACCCCTTAGCTTCCTTTCTATTATATTTAGTCAGCAATTTATATCCAAACCACCCTATATACCCTTGCCTCCTGTAAGAGGCTGTATATACTCTACTGTATTCAAAGTTATAACCGAGAAACTCAAATTGTAAAATATTTTGATGTGAGAGAACCGGGAGTAAGAGCCCTTCATTTCCAATCCTATCCAGATTTCTGTCTGTAGGCCGTCGAACTCTCCTCAAACAAAGTGGAATCTTTGGTCTTCTCTACCATGATTTTGTACATCCGCAAAACGATGTAGACACTGCTGTCTATATGAGAGAAGCTGATGAATAAGAACTTCCTGTGCAGTCCAATATTAGTAAGAAGCAATCGAACTCCCTTGATCTTGTCGAGTATGATTGATCTAGTGTTGAATTAAAGATGACAGTATTAAGGACAAGGTCCAGACATTTTTAATCTGATCTAAGCCTTTCTTTATGACACATTTTCTTTAACTCTGTCAATTTAGTCTAATTGATAGTCCGAAACACTGACATAGGAATCCAGGGGGGAAATACGTTTCAGTTATTTAATAAGTTTCTTCTACTTCGGTTGAAAACTTTTGCTCAAACAAGCTATAAATTTCAAAGCTTTTCACGTATAAAAATACCGAATACAGATCAGTTCGCCCTTGATGACATTCGTCCTTTGACATTTTTCAAGATTTACAGGTATCAATAAACATTTCTAATATTCCATACAATATTTAAAGGGACCAGCGGAGCCTGACCATATTGCAAACCTACCCAACACGACAGGCGAAAGGACCCTATGCCAAAATGCCCAGTTGAATTCGATTGATTTAACATTAAGTTAGGTTAAAGTAGGATAAATCTAAATGAATTATCCAGGATACACTTCTATTGATTACCTATTAATTCTTGTCTGGACCATTTTAGTAGATTATCTTTCACTAATTTACTCAGTTAAATGGCAACATTATTAGCTTCTGTAAATGTCGATGTGGATCATTTGAACATTAGATTTTCGCAATCCATTCAGGGCATGTTCTTAACGCGATTAATCTATTTGTGCTTGAGAGGTATAGGTCAATCTTTTGTGACTGTAATGGCGTATAGTAGCTCATCTTTAACTATCTATCAGAGCAAAATTGTAGGTTTTTCAGGATGTTAATCTTTCATGGGTCGGTGATACAAGAATTGTTATATTGCTGTAGAAGTGATCCTATTTAGATTTCTCTCAGACCATTATTGATTTTCCCAAATAGACAAAAAGAGTATAACATATACCAAAGCTATCTGAATAGATTGAGTTCGAACCTTGTGCCAAAAAACTTCTAATCAAATAAAACCCAAAATGGCTGCACTGTTCTAGTTTTAGTATAGAACTAAGGGTTAATATGTCAGTAGAGAGAGGGCGTAAATAAATACTCCAGTAATTTCCCCCAACATAAAGAATTAACTTCTTGGTAAATTGAATTTCCTCTTCTATCAATTTTCCATTTTCTTGAAAATCACGTAAGTCTGTAAGTGAAAACTCTATTCTAGGAGTAATAGTTTGTCTAAGACAAGATAATTCATTTTGACGTCGTGTTTGTTGATGAAAATTCGGGCTAAGTTTTTCGGTCTTGATACAGATTTTACTGGCTGTTCTATTTATTTCTTTTCTTGATTTTGTTGTTACACTAATATGTATTCACAGATGTCTCTTGGTTTCAGCGTTCCAATTTAAGCGAAAGAAAAAAGAGAAATGTGTCGAATTCATCTTCTTTTTTTTTCATTACAGAGATATCAAACCTGATAATATTCTACTAGACGAAGGAGGTGAGTTGTTATTTCATATAGTGGTCAGACCATTCATACTAAAAGAATTACCTTTATTGCGTAGTGACATAATATGTATGAATTATTAGTTGGTGGGGGTGTATAAGGCTCACATGAGTAAAATGGTGTTGTGTAAGGGGGGTATACAAACATCAATGTTGTGGCGAATGTGTGGTATTTTAGACAACTGTATCCATTTCAGGCCATGTACATATAACAGATTTTAATATTGCCACAGTGCTCAATCCGGGAGAATTAGCTACTTCAATGTCTGGTACCAAGCCTTATATGGGTAAGAACAATACTTATTACGACTATTGAATGTATAACAGATTAAAAATCTGTCCGATATGAAAAGCAAATATGGATATGGACAAAGTTAATATAACTTGGAAAACTGGAGGAGTTTTTTCGAAAATATTCTTTTGATCAAATTTGATTAAAATGCCGAGTCGGATATTTTCTTTTGCTTTTAGTCATCATCAGAAAAAATTAAGATCGACAATAGTAGCCTTCATGAGATGAACAGTTTCTCAGTTCCATATGATGAATGTCTGTGAAACAGATCTTAGCGTTTCATGAATATGGCCCCAGAAGCTCTGGTATAGATAAGGTGAATATGTTCATTTCACAAATATATTATAGACGTCTCAAAATTCCACTTTTCAGCGCCTGAAGTGTTTGCATGTGCGTTAAATGAGTGCCTGGGATACAGTTATCCCGTTGATTGGTGGTCGTTAGGTATAACAGCTTACGAGTTACTCAAAGGAAGGGTATGTACTATATTTTGTATTTCAATATCTGTCTAAAATAGACACTAGCAGATATGATACCTTACTGTACTTTAATTCTACTGTGATAAGTTATGTGGTGGTTGTCCAGAACACCCAATGCCACAATGCAGTTGGGTGTACATTCTTGATAGTCCAGATACCGCTAATGGTATATTCGTTACAAGACTCAAATATAAACAAGACACCACTTGGTCAGTGTTGGCTGTTTACTATCGCGATGCTCCATCATTATTTAAGAGTCAGAGACTTGATTGCCAGAAAAGCATATTTCTTCGTAACGGAATTCTCCAATTGGAAAAGTTGTGTATTTGACGTATCTTTTTTTTTGCTAATTGTTTCTAAGTGCGCTGGAAGTTATTTGACAGATTTGTTTCATCTTGCATCTGTGATTGAAATGTTGAATCTTTGTTTCTGCTCTGGGAGAGATTCTTCATAGATTATGAATGTTATTGGCATTTCTTTCTTAAATTGTTACATAAGACGAATTCCTCGTGGATTTAAACTTGGAATTTTTCTAGTCATTTTTCTGCTATTTGTATTTATACAGGAGTTATCACCGCTGGTTATGGAACAGTCGTCTTATTATGTTACGTAGTTGGGTCACATTGCAGATGTCACTTCAATTGTTATCCTTTTTCTTTCAGAGGCCATTTGACATTCACTCCTCGACATTATTACAAGAAGTTCAGATTCTTTTCAACACAACTAAACCTCATTTTTCATCTTCCCAATCAGAAAATTGCCGATATTTACTCAAACAGGTAAGATCTTTTAAGTCAAAAGTTTTGAACGAAATAGAAACTCTTGGGTAACTCCTGTTTACATTTACATATGGATAATTTTTCCTTTGGTATGAGCTTTTCAATTCAAAATAAGTGAAGATTGGATGGCCTTGTTCAGTCAGATCACAACAGGCTGTCATAACTCATTTCAGATCACAAAGGACGATGTCGGACTAATTTCCGAGCACAAAGACTCATTTCATAGCGCATGAAAGGCTGACTCATAACTTTAATTCAGTTTTTACTGCTTCTAATTAGTTTTACCCCCTTATCTTTTTTCTATGGATTTATGGTCGTTCCATTTGATGTTGTTAATTATTTATGTATTTCAGTTATTAGAATTAGATCCTGATAACAGGATTTCATCGCTTGCTCAGTTAAAACATCATCCATTTATGGAGAGTTTAGATTTTAATAAAGTCTTAAATAAAGAAGTTAAACCAGCCTTTGTGCCTTCAGTAAGTTTATTCATATCAGCTGTACTATTACTTAAGATGCAAAGATAGGAGAATTATGCACAAATAATGGACTATATCAAACTTCTTTGACTTTGATTTCAAAAACTAAAAGCACCACTGGGTCCTAATATCTTACTAATGACTTTATCTCTGTCAAAAGGCGAAGCACTTTCTGAAAATGCATGCAGATAACTCACACATGCGTACATTGAACACGCAAAGATATTGGAACAGAGGATGATTGGAGGTTTCAAGTATCCCCAGTCAATAATATGTTTTTGGCCGTTGTCGGGAAATTGTAGGGCCCAATATTTTTAACACGAACATATAATGCCAGGCAGTAATCCGGGTCATGAAGGCAATGCTCTCAATATGTTATTATTTCAGAAAGAGCATTTAAATTGTGATCCTACGTATGAACTAGAAGAAATGATCATTGAAACCAAACCCCTTCATAAAAAGAAGAAACGACTGGCGAAACAGAATTCCAGACGAGCCGGAGAGCTTCTGTCTCAGTCTTCTACGGTTAGTAATCAAATTCGTTATGCAATTGTATTTCAGTTCGCATTGATGGTGTTAAATAAAAGCAATAAGCGGGTGCTGTAGCTTAGAAAATGTTAAAGCCCATATGGTATCATGTCTGGCCACGTACAACATCGGTAGTTGAGAAATCCTTTCTCCAAAACTTCATAGCGTGTATTACAATATGTATTTTATGTTGAGTGTCTGTTAATTGTGTAATGCAGGAAATGGACGAAATCCAGAAACATCTTATGAAATTAAACGATGATTTTGTGGCTTACAATAGAGAAAGGTAGGTTGATGGACCTTTTCTTCTAAGTAAACTAAATAATTTAGTGAAAAGTCAAGTTACACGCTAGTAGTGCACACTAAATAATTATATTTCACCATCGGACGGAAAATTCAACCATGGATCGTAGTGTAGTGTTTATTGGTAGAGCAGTATATTATCACCAACGTCGACATTGGGTATTAAGGGTGAAGGTCGACACCAGGCCATTGGGATTAGGGCTGCTGACTTGGCAAATATTTCATGCCTTGCTTCATGTTTTTTTCAGGAAAGATCAAAACGAGGAACCAGAGAAAAAAGAAATTCCTCTAACTTGACCAATTTCAATAGTATTATAAACAGTTACATTGGTTACTTCAGCGTCAATGTTCTTCTAAATTCAAGGAAGTGGGGATTTTGATCTATACTTGTTGACATTTATCATGGCGCAGTTTAAGACTCTGGGTATGTTTTTCTAATGCCCGTCTCGATGACATACATTAATGAGTTCCATCTCGGCGTTTCTCTATCTGTTATGGCAATCAAAGTAGACTTCTATTGACGAACCATATAAAAACCCACCAATAGGAAATCATCATTCTCTGTGAAAATCATCATTTTGGATCTTCCGTTGCACCGGAACTTATTATCAGATACTCTTTGGGTGTTTCTGTTGGCGTTACTCATATTCCAGATTGGCTCGGCAGCCATTCAGTGTTATATCACATTGACAAAATGATCCAAGAGTATAATGCTTGCATATCTCTACAGTGGTTCACCGACGTATGACTTTGAAAAATGACTAGTGCTAGTGGTAAGAGTGTTTTGGAATACGCGAATATTCTGTCAAACTGATGCGAATAGAAAGTAACATAAGCCAGATGATATCAAAAGACTTTATACCGGATTTTTTAATATTAAAATCGATATTGAAGCAATATAACATATTCTTTTAACTAAGGTTTCTCAAGTGAAACTTTTATCTCGGCACACAGTTGTTATTCTGCACTCCTTCTCTGGAGATAATGAGCTTATAAGGTGGCAGTACGTTGTGGAGAAACTGTCAGGACATCAGGGTTTCTGAACAGTGGTAGGAAAATGTGAATTTGACAAAGATGACCATGAGTTAATTTAAATGAAATGCAGTTTTACGTCACCCGAATCGATCCGCCACCCAGTGTGCAATAATGGAAATTTCGTCACCGTTAAGACTTCTCGGACATTTCTCCCGACAGGCTTGATTGATAAATTCTGATTCAGGCAATTATCTATGTGAAACGTACGGACACTTTGTGACACTAAGGTATCGATTTGATACGTTACTGAAGAGCTTACCTATTGGGAGGTATGGTAAAAGTTTAAATGGAAACGTTTCCTTAATCTACTCACAGAACTTGATTTTCCAAAACATTATTCTCAAAAATATATTTTTTTTTTGGAAAATACTGAGATGACAACGCGAATGTTCCCAAGAGTATTCTAGTCAAACGACCATATAAATTTCCCGTAAATGTATTTATTATTTTTATTTATAACCTTCTTTGTGATATTGAAATTTGATTGTTTTTAAATAAATAAAATACTTTATGATTAATAAATTGTGTATAGCGTCTTGACTTTTGTCAATTCTCGGCAGAACGCTGAATCACACCGTTCGAAGTTTTGGGAAGAACAGAAAGTTGTTTGGTACTTAAGACAACATGTCATAAAGAGTAAAATCTGTAATCATCAGTCAACCACAACCTCGATAAGACGAGTTAATGGGAGACAACTCCATTAAATGAAGTCAATATTAGCAAATGTTGTCTGAAGCCTGTAATTTATAACCACTTTAATCAGTAGTTCTAAGCCAACATATATCCGCTAAAAATAGGTTAGAGATGATATTAGGAGGCAAAAATATTTCATATGAAGCTATTTTTACCACATAAATAATATTTATTATAACAAATCACAGAATAAATAAGTCATTGGCTGCCATTTCGAGGCCTTTACAATTCTACAAACTAGTTTGATATCACAGTGGTCCTTATACAAATATACAATATAATAAAAACATAAAATAGGAGTAAACTTTAGAATGCTGTGAGAACGAGATGGAAGTGACAGACTGGAAGATTTTAACTGCTTATAACAATAATTTTGGTTGATTGAATTAGGTTATGTTTCAAACTCTGTGAGTCGAGGAATTTATCTATATTTATTTTTCCTCATTAAAATGAAAGAAAAATGGTCTGCTTTAAATATGATAAGACATATGACTGTTTACTTCCAACCATGTTTGTCCCAATCACAAGTTCTTTACATGTTTTTTGACATTTTAAGTCAGTCCAAATTCCTTTCCATATTTAAAATGTTAATACACATCAATGAAAGGTTTCAGGAGTAATAAAATTTGAAAATTTTAGATACACTTTTATGGAAATATAAATGACAATCCTTTGATATTTCTTTTACTGAGAAAATTGAGTCGAAAGTGTGAAAGAAGACAAAGAATAGAAATTAAGCAGCTGATTTTGCAGTCTTTAGATTAAAGCCTCCGCCAGTAAAACGTGGTGCATCTGTTCTCTGAGGTTGTATTGGTGGATTTCCTGCATTCATTATAGCTCTTTCTCTCTCCCTGAAAGAAATAACACATGAAATAAAAAATTTGAAATGAAATTAGCCTCACGACAATCATACTTGAATATTTTTTTTTCAAAATATATGCATTAGAAATAATTAAGTGACATTTACATTTTCTTTCATATTTTTCTTAAACACAAGTTAATATTTTTACAGGAATTGAAAAGAAAAACATAAAATTATTGGAAAAAATCATTAAAAAAAATATATTATAAAATATAACATACATGTTTTGAACAAAAAGAAATAATTACATGACAAGATGTTAAATTTTGACACAAAAAGATAAACAATAATTCTACTCACTTGGACTGTTGTTCCTTCTTTTTCTGCAAAAAGTATTTATTTTTAACTTCCTGCAACTCCCTGGCAATTCTTTCCATTTCATATTTATATTCATTTACTTGGGATTCATACATATTTAATTCAGATGCCATAGCCTGAAATATAAGATTAATGTGTTTAGTATATGCAAGAACATAAATAACTACAAAATATTTAACACAAAATGTAAATAAAAACTGCTTGTAGATAAATATCCTCTTTAAGTTAAGAGAAAATTGGTATTGGTTTAAAAAGGAAAGTGATTTTTTCAAACGTAAGACACATGAAGATAAATATCTTATCATATTTAAAAAAAATAAATAAAAATCATGTACAAGGAAAATATATTGCGGGGTATAGTTTGTTTCCTTTAATAAGCTATTTGAGTGCATATGAGGAGTTACTCTTCTTCTTCCTCGCCACACTATTACTTAATCATCTTTAATATATTCAACAGGGTAGTGTATAGCCATATTGTCAGCTTATAAAAATTTCTCTAAAACTTGAGAGAAAGCAATATATACTACAATGGTAATCAATAAATCACGAAAGGCACCTTACCTTCATTTGTTTTGTTTTTTCTTTCAATGTTTGTTGATAAATTTGAAGTTGTTCAGCTACCTCTGGTCCTGGCTGTCTGGCCAAGATATGTTTAAGTTCTAAATATAATTTCTCTTTTTCTTGAATTAATAATTCCTTTTCAACTACCTCTTCTGTTTTTTGGATCAATCTCTTCTGTAAGGTGTGGATCTTCTGGATCATTTCAAAGGTGCTTGGATCACTTCCCTACAAACAGAATAAAAAAAATTGTAAATACAATTCACACGTTTAAAATTGTTTTACTGATTAGCAAAGTAGACTATAAAAGCATTCCTTAAGGTCAAATATTGAGTGCAGAAGTTAAATCATTCAAGCATAGGATTTTAAGATAAGAGATGTGATATAAAAAAATCCCCAAAACCATTGACATAAAGAATTAAGGAATGAATTTGGATCTTCGCCGGGTCATTTGTCTTGTCCCATGATAAACGAGCATTTATTTCCCCATAACAAGATCCACATTCATTCCTTATATTTCCATTGGTTTATCTTTTATGATAAAATACCCTAAAATGTTCTATTTTTTAATTGTAAAAATACCCGAAACTGTTGTTGCTTAATTCACCGATATCTGTCAATCAATTTCACCGACCGGCCCGTAACAATATAGTTCTATAAATCAACAGTCTTATTTGGATGATAGAATTATCAAATATTCATTATTCCATTGAAATATTAACAACAATTGTAAATTTAAATAAATTGTAAAATTAGATTAGACTCTAGGTAAAAAAAAGCTTGGGTCAATCCTTGTTTTCGTTTTCGATGTATTCATACGCCTTATTGTCATGTGACAAACTACAGTTATTGGAAAATAAACGCCGGTTTGGCTAACTGGCTAAAGCCCCTCTCCCCAAAATACCAGAAAGAGTCAGCTTACCTCAAGTTTCCTCCATCTATGAATATTCATGGGATTTTCTAATTCCTCCTCTAATGCCTTACACCTGGTTCTTTCTCGTAATAACTCTCGTTGTATATGGTACACTTCACGTCTGAAATATCAAATAAAAATTCTAATATGGTACAAAACTTGAAAACGATACACCTTAATTTTATTTGGAACATTCATAGTGAATTGAATACAATTGAATGCAAACTCTGTATATATGGGGACTCTCAATTAGCAAACAGCAAAATGAAAAAGAATTACATTATG